CATTATTTCTTGAACCAAAATTTCAAAATCAGCAGCACTGCTACTCAACAAGCTTAGGTCAAGCATGCTCATATAGAAGACAACTTGTTAACATAATGAAAAGTTCAAATATCCCACTTTGATAAAAAAAGCTTATTTTTCATGGAATGTGCATATCGATATGCATGGATCATACCTTTCCTTATGCTTCCAATTCCCATTTTGATAGAAATGGGACTCTTCTCCCCCGGCAAGTAGCCCACAAATGTAAGCATGATTCCATTCAAGCACAACCTATTTTGATATGAATGGGACTCTTGCTTGTTCCCCAGACAACTAGCCCACAAATGTATCCATGATTCCATTCAAGCACATCTCTTAGACTCTCAGTTTTAAAATTGCCCTAAAAACTCCCAAAGACTTAAAACCATGCCCTAAGAACTCTCCTGTTTTTTTTGTTTAGGGTGGGGGAGGGGAGGGGGATTTCAATTTTGGTGAGGGCACCCTGTCTCTGGGCGGGCGCCTTAGGCGCCTAGGCACCCAAAACGCCTAGGCGCTCGAATCCGCATTTTTAACATTAACTCGGCTCTAGGAAATTGTTTAAGTCCATAAATTGCCTTTTTTAATATACATATCTTTTCTGTCTTTCCTTGAAGTTGAAAACATGGAGGCATGGTACCATAAACTTCCTCATAAAGATCTTCATGTAAAAGAAATTTTTCACATCTTGCTGATGTAAGAATCAAGATTTATTTGCAACTAAGAAGAAAACGATTCTAACAGTTTTTAACTTTGCTACAAGGGTAAAACTCTCTTTGTAAACTATACCATGAATCCGTGTAAAACGTTTTGCAGCCAATCTCACCTTGTATCTTTCAATACTGCCATTGGCCTTGTATTTCATTGTAAACACCCATCTTGCATCTTGCCACCTTCTTCCCCTTAAGAAGTTTGGTGAGTTCACAAGTTTTTTTTTTTTTCAAGAGATTTCATTTCCTTCCACTTTGTAGTCTTCCGTTGAGGCTATGATAGACTTCTACTACACAAGATAGAATGCTTAACAATAGACAAAGATGATAGAAAGTCACGATAAGGTGACATGACATTATAAAAAACAAAGTTGCCTGTAGGACATTACATGTAGAAATGCTTTCCTTTGCATAATGCAATAGGTAAATCAAGGTCAGATACCAGGGTTGGATCGCACGGGTTGGGTCCAGGTCAATCGGGCCTGGCCCAACCCAATATATAAGTATGAAATAAGAAGTAAATAATTATATATAATATATAAAATTATTTTTTATTTTATTTTATTTCTATACCCGAAACTGAATCGACCCAACCTAGTGGGTCAGTTTTGAGGCGAAATGACTTGAACCCGACCTGGGTCCGGGTCCAAGTTAGACCTAGTTGGGTCGGGCCAGGTTGGGGTCCGGACCCGTTGCCACCCCTACATTGTTCCAAGTTGACACCTGAGTAAATAATCATTCTAGACTTCGGATTGTATCAACCTCTTTCTTTGCATATATGTCCTCAACTCCTTTTCCTTGGGTGCAATAAGGAAATTTCAGAAATGAAGAATGGTGTGGTATTGCTCTCTTCTTGAAGAAGAAATTGCTGTCCAAGAGGAGAAATATAGAATGGACTCTAGGAAGGTGACATCCATAGAAACAACGAACTTCATTCATAGGATCGAAGCATTTGCAACCTTTTTGATGGGCTGGATATCCTAAGAAAACACACTGAATGACTTTAAGATCAAGTTTGTCCCTTTTAGAACCCAAAACACGAACAAAGCATACACAACCAAAAATTATCAGAGTTATAGGAAACAAAAGGGAATAAGGGAGAAGAGTTTGGAAATGAGACTTACCTTGAAGAACCCTTGATGGCATATACTATTTATTAAGTTAGTAGTAAGGACAATGTCAGACCACACAAATTTTTAGAACTTTCATTCCAAGCAAGAGGGGTTATGTCACTTCTAACAAGTGTCGATTTTTCTTCTCAAAGACTCCATTTTGCTAAGTATAAGGACATGTCTGGAATTCTATAGTTGAATTTATTAGATAATCTTTTAGATAATTAAAAGCATATTCACCAGCATTATCAAAACGAGTACATTGACATTTGCATTGTATTGTGATTTGACTATTTTATGGTAAACTTGAACAATATTTGCAGCTTCATCTTTATGTTTCATTAGATAAAATGTGGTCAATCTAGTGCAATCATCCATAGAGGTAACAAAAAAAAAATGAAAACCAAAAACTGAAACATCACAGGAGGGTCCCCACACATTAGAATCTACTATATGAATGGAGTGTCACATTTTTTATTATTCATAGGAAATGAGGTTCTACAATGTCTTGATAACTGACAAATTTCACATTGGAATTGAACTTGAGCCAATTATGGAAAAGTCCTTGTTTTTTTGGGCAAGTAAAATTGATAAGTCAGTTGGGATTTTTGGGCCCCCATCTATTGGTGAGAATGGAGTCAGAGACCTCATCATGGGGCTCGGCAATACTACCACCAACTCCCCAAACCATTTTTGAAAAAGGGATAAGACAGTGGGGATTTGCGCCCCTACCCTTTGGTGAAAATGGAGTCAGAGACTTCATCATAGGGATCGTTGGTACTACTGCCAAGGCCCTAACCCAACATGGAAACAAGAGCATCACCAAGATGGTGTGCAACAAAAGCACTACATAGTGCATTACCCAGTCAAATATATAATCGTGCTAGCAAGTTTCAGAGGTAAAGTGGCTATAAAGCTATTCGATAGACATCCAACAGTAGCCAAAAAAAAAGATGGAATAATAGGATCCAAGATTCACCATTGAATGCCACATCAAATAGTTCGTCCACCCCCCCCCCCCCCCTCCCCCAAAAAAAAAAAAGACACCATGAATTTATTTTTAGATTTCTCATAAAAAAAGAAAAAAATTATTCAACCTGGTTAATCATCAGATCACCTATCTATGAATCATGAAAAACCGTAAATTTTGGTGATAAAACTTTACAAAATTGGCAACTTTCGTGAAAACCAGATCAGATTAGGAGCAAACCCTAGAAAATGACACTTTCCTTCAAAAAACATATGTTAGAATAGTATAGAACAGCCCAGTATAGAAAGTGGTCCGGTTTTTTCTTAGCTAATTTTAACTTGTGACATGAGAACTTTGTGAGAAGTATTTCTTTTCTCGTGAAATGGAATGAGAATACCTTGTATATTGTGAATGTGAGTTGCAGCATATCATCTTTCCGTTATAAAAAAAAAAAGGTTTTGCTTATGAAAACAAATGATCTATTGGTGAAATTTCATCTCTGCACTAGGCAGTTGAGGGTACCACAGTCTAATCTGTGGCTGGCTCCTCAAGATGTGTCAATCAAATTTAACTGCAACAGTTGCTCTCTATGCAAACCTGGCAAAGGCGGCATGAGTGGCATATTCAGGGAGTCTTTTCCAGGTTCATTGTGGTCTCAGACTCATAAAAAGTGGAGATTCCTCCCTTAAGGCTTGAAACAATTTGAAGCAAGGTCAGGACTCTAGAGGTGAAAGGTGATTTCAAGAATGCCACCTGATGGCGCATCTAGGCAGACAAACTTTCCATGGTATTTGGAGACGATATTCGAACAGATTTGGGAGATTTCCCATAGATGACAAATCCAATATGGACACAAATGGCACGAAGCCAACTCTACTTTGGATGCCCTTTGGAATCTCCAGGCCCTCGGCTTGTTTGACTCCTGAATGTAAAAAGTGTATATTTGTTTGACTCCTGAATGGGCAGGGAATTTTGTAAAGGGGTATACTATTAATACTAAAGTCAATTTTTCTAAAAAACATTCCTCACTACACACATTGGAATATAGCAGAGCACACGAAATGCTTAAACTATCCTCAAGAACCTTGTACATTTTATATATTGCTAAAATCGTTGAGTGAGCTTATGAATTGAGCAGAAACAGTTTGTTAGGATGGAATGTTCATCTATCATAATAGTTTTGATGAATGTATTCATTCTTTGTATATGGCAATGAAGCTTAGTCACGAGAAATGCCTGTGGGAGCAGGATATGTGGTGTTGGCGAAAAAAATTAAAAAAAAATTCCCTTAGGCCTAAAAATTGCCTAAAGCTAGTAGTTTTGGGAACACCTCCTTGGTACAAGGTTCCTGCAACTAAGTAAGCTTGACTATGTGCTGTGTCAAAAATATGATTATGACTTTGATTTGATCTAACTCATTCCTGTAAAACTTGAGAACATAAAAATTTAGAAGAAAATTTTATATGAATTCTTTTTATAATGTAGTATATATAATTTAATATCCCAAAGAAATTTTTTTTGCAAAAATCATTGGGAAACAACAGGATTATCACAACTGTTCCATTTCCACAAGAACTAAGTATTGTCTTGAAAGTGTGAAATTGTTCATCATCATCATCATGACCTTCTCAACTATTTAGGGTTGGCTACCTGAATCTTGGCCTTCTAGTCTGCTCTATCAAGGGTCATTTCCTTAGTGAGACCATTTGTCCCCATATCTTTTCTCACTACTTCCAACCATGTCGTTTTGGACCTACCCCTAGCCCTTTTTGAGCCGTCCACCTGAATCAACTCGCACCTCTTAATAAGTGCCATACTGGGTTTGCGAAATTGTGAAATTGTTACATCTTGCAATTTTTCGTTGCATGGATTGTTCAACAAAAAACTCAAATGTAATGCTTTTAGTATAGTATCGATTATTGACATGCATTTATACCATTCAGTACTTTCTATATTCTACCATGTATATTTTTCAAGGGGAATAATTTCGAACCTGTCTTCACTTAATTTGTGGCTGTTAAAATCATCATTTTTTTCTCTTCCATGATCTATAAGGTGAATTATCTACATTACTTTCTTAATCTCTCCAACAAATTGTTTATTTTCTATTTTTTAATGGTTTCCAATGAAATTTACTTGAAGACATGGCATTTTGATATGCAGATGAAATCTTTTTAACTCTGTTTCTTGAGGAGATGGTTCTTTTTTATACTGACCCGATTGAGTGTGCTTCAGTTATTCTTGCCATCACATAAGTTCACATCTGGCATTTGATGTCGATCCCAACGTTTTGTAAGGTTAAGTGTCTGATCCTGTGGTAATCCAACCATGTAGCTTTGAAAGGTGCAGTCTTAGCACGAACCATTTGCCACACTGGCTTCAGTAACAACACTTAAGGTTTATGGAAGCTCTTCTGGAGGTTTTTGCCAAACTCCTCTACAACTCAGCAGTCATGAGCAAATGGCCATCCTAGATTGATCCCTTAGTGGTAGAAATCGTGCTAGATTTGAAGCCATCGCACTTCTGAATATACGTGATGATAAGAAAGGATCGAGAACCGGCCACCTGAAATCCTATCCAGTGGTGATAGTTGTAGTGCCTGTTCAATTGCCTCCAAAAATATCCTCTCTAAAGGGCTGGCTCCACACTTTCCTGCTGCTCATTGCTGAACATAACTTAAGTTGATTCCTTCGTAAGATCTGACCATCCAAAGTGCTTCAGAAGTATTGGTGCTTTGAACAAATTTTTGCACCCTCTAACCTCTGTTACTGTATCTTCTGGACATCAACCCCTGGAGTGTGACTAAAGGTACCAATTCCATTACCATGATAGACTAGGCCAAACAAATACCCCTACTATATTTTCTCCATATTTGATCCCTAAATGTTGGTCTAGGCAATGGGTACTTCACTGCATCCATGAGGGTTTAAGAGGGAATGCTTATGGCTAATTTTTTTTCTTGAGATGTTTCATTTCTCATGATATAAGTGTCTGGCATTTATTTGATGTTATGTAATTGTGACATGTGGACTGATTTAATGCCAGATATAGTTGATGGACCAAGGTTCAATTTCATATTTTCCTTTCCTCCCACTGATGTACTCAGAAACTTTTGGATCGAGGCTATTTGCTCTGATTCCGTAATTGTGTTTCTTCATTTTTTTGGAAGTAAATGACATGGTTTATCTTTTCTTTCCCAAGGTTCTGGGTTGCTGTACGTATCAAAGTTGATGGCATGGGCATTGCAGTCTGATAGTCAAGATGATTTATGCAATTCTCTCCTGTCTAATGAACCATGTTGGCAAGAAATGAGGAATTTGGGTCTGGGTTTTTGGCTTACAAGTGGAACTTCTTTACGTGCAAGGGTAAGATTATAATTAATTATTTGTATGGCCTTTGGTATTTTTAATATACGTTGGATTTCTATTGATGATTATTGTGATACTATCTCGAATGGGGCAGATCTGTGGTCGATTTTTTAATCTGATATTTTTTTTGTTTGTTTTAATATATTTAGAATGTCGGACATTTGAACATTCTTAAACCCACAAAGTTGTTAACATATTTTGCTTCAATAAACAGCCGTGCAGGACTTTAATCATATACTGTAATGATGATATCCAGTCAACAAGATCGTGAAAAGTGCATATGTTGAATGGATGCCAACGTAATTGGTAAACAGTTTCTCTAAAAACAAAAGGCATTTTGAATAGCTATGTTCACCGTATTTGTGAGAAGTTGTATAAATTTGATTGGTCCATGTTCATTTACAACCATGTATGAGTAATTCAAGTTCATTTCAAACTTCAAATGCATCGCTTTTCATTGGTTTAGCATGAATAATGTTCTTAAAAAGTCCCAGATTTGAATGGGTGGTATGATCGTGGGTATTTTCTGTACCTCTAAATTAAATTTTTATAAAGTCTGGATTAACAAGTGAGTGCTTTCAATATATGCTTCATTGATCGTGTATGTAAGTGCACAACGGGTTTATCTCGAGACAGTTCATATATCCTACATTGACTGTGTATTAAATTTACATCGGGTCTATCTTGTGACATTTCATTTATCTCTCTCTCTCTCTCTCTATCCCCCCTCCCCCCCAACCTTCTTATGTATCTGTGTGCGCGCGCGCATGCGTGCATGTGAAAGGCTACTACACTACCTGTTTATATCTTGCAGGGATATAAACAGGTCCCTCAACTACCTTACATCGACAATGGATGGTTGTGGGGCTCATGCCTCTACTCAAATATTGTTGACATAGGATGGTTGAGTACCTGCTTATACCGTGTGGGTTATACAGATCTAATGTGTGTGTGTGGTGCGCGCACAAAATGTACTTTAATCCTAAAATTACTTGTACATTATATTGTGATCCATCATATCATCCATAGTCCTTGGTGTTATAAATTCTTATCGTGCATGCTTGCACACACGCAGAAACACACGTCTTTGTGTGTGTATTGGACATAAACATACTACTGCGTTTGTTCTCTACCAAAGTGCTATTCTTTTTCTTATTCTTTGTACCATGTCCGTGTAGATGGAGAAGCTGGCGAGGCTACAATTTTTGAAAAGGAAAGATCCAAAGGAATGTGCACTTCTGTACCTGGCACTGAATAGACAACAAGTTTTGGCTGGATTATTTAAAATTAGCAAAGACGAAAGGGACAAACCCTTGGTTGGGTTTCTTTCGCCAAACTTTCAGGTTTGAGGATTTTGACATGTAAAAGGTCCCTTTCTATTTTAACTTACACCTTCATGGATTTTCTTGAAAAGCTTGAGTCCAGATAGAATGCATCAATAGCCTGGATTTGACTGCTTATATTAATCTAGGGCCTGAATTCATTTGAATGTTTGAGTACTGAGTCCTTTCCATCTAATTTGTGTGTCATGACATGAAATACTTGGTAGCTCTCTTTGGTGGTAGCATTTTCTAGATCTACTTACCCACTTCCTATTTGATTTACAAGTCCTGTTCCTTTCTTTTTCATATGATCATTTTAAGATTGGAAATAACTCCTAAACTCACTAAGACGAGCTACTGCCATGCAATCGTTTCTTTTTGTAGTTCCTTTATTTTTTAAGTCGCATATTCATTGCTTTATATGTTTGTTCTTCGTGCTGCAGATCTGTGCATATTCATCATATGTAACTTCCCACAACAATTTAATTTATGCAACTATGCTTTTCTCATGTGTATTTTTGTTATTCTCTATGAACTGATTTTCAGGAGGAAAAGAATAAATCTGCAGCTTTGAAAAATGCATATGTTTTGTTGGGGAGACATCAACTGGAGCTTGCAGCTGCTTTCTTTCTTCTTGGAGGTGATCTTTCTTCTGCTATTGCTGTCTGCACCAAAAACATAGGAGATGAACAACTTGCGCTCGTAATATGTGAACTTGTGGAAGGAACCAATGGGCCAGTGCAACATGAACTTATCTTAAATTATTTATTGCCCTCCGCTATCGAGAAAGAGGAAAATTGGCTTGCCAGCATGTTGGAGGTGCATGAGTTGTCATCGATTAATGCAATGTTCTTAATAGCCCAACTTTTTTGTCTCGTATCTATAATTGTGAGAACTCGTTGTCTTGTTTAACTTGTTGTGTTTGTGCAGTGGAGGTTAGGGAAATATTCTCAATCGATATTGCGCTTGCTTCATGTGGCAGTTGACTTAACAGTTGAAGAAAAGATATTAGATCTTCCTGGCACTCACTTTGCTTTCTTAGACCCAGATGTTGGTCAGTACTGTGCAATCCTTTCAGCGAAACGGAGCTTGCGGAATTCCATTGGTGAATCTAGTGCTGATACATTGGCAAGATGGGCTATCATAATGACTTCAATTGCTCTAAACAAATGTGGACTTCCTGTAAGTGTAATTAGTCTCTTATTTCTAGTTCCCATCTCTCATATGATCAGGATGCCGCTTAGTGCATTGATATTTGTGTTGCTTCAGTCCCACATATCAGTTTGTTGC